AGGCGAAATACCCTATGAAAGCAAAGGGTATGTAGTCTATTGGCTTAGTGGGAGGGTAGAATTAATACTCCATGAAAGCAAAGGTCAGGTGATCGAACCTGACTGCTGTGGGGAGTGCGGATGAGACATCTCACTCCTCCTGGAGAATTAGTCCGTCGGCAATTCGTGATGAAGTCTTGGAGTGAATATGGGGATACTTTCCATCGAAAAAAAAAACGTGTTTGGAGACCACTCAAATCTCATTTTTATGGTTTTCCCTCAACCCTTTAGTCCCTGTTTGTTTTGCGTGGTTAATCACGTGAATTTTACAACTAATACTGGCCCGATGGATTGGACTCGGCTCGTGACTAAATCCACCTATATCCTGCAATTGTGTGATTATTAAATCCAAGAGGGAGGCCCTGATAAATGCTATCCATCACTGATTATTAGGTGAAATTACAACTTCTCTTTCTCACTGTATAAATTGAAAATCTCATCTTCCAACATCCATTCTTCCTTGTCACTTTTTCAAAAAGAAATAAATGGAAAGGAAGATGATGACCAAGACACAAATATATTATAACCTACAAGTAAATTGATATATATGAATTAAGTCAAGAAGAAGTCATTTCACATGGATTCAAAAAATTTCTGAACTTAATTACTCTCACAATCTTAAGAATCCGAATAAGTCCCTCCTTCCCTAACGTACTCTAAATACCTCGAGAACTCCGGCTTAGCTGTCGCCTTCTTCTTCCGCCCTGTCTCGAAAAGACTAAAGAAAGGATGAATTTTGCTTGTTGTCTTCTTAACCTTCTCCTTTTCTTTATTGGAATGAGTTTTGTCACGAGCAGTTACGCTTTTAAGCTTTTTAGAGCAACTCATAAGGATTTTGGCCGGCGTGCTTTTTGCTCGGCTCAGCTTAGGCACCAAAGCTGCACTCATGGCATCGTCGTGTAATGGCCCGTAGCCATGTCGGTTTCTTCTCTCGCTTAAGGCCCTGAACATTTTATTGGAAAATTGGATTTATAGATTTTACAGTGAATAGTAGAATTGTGGTAATTTTGGGTTTTGAAAAGGGAAAGATGGAGGAGAGGTTAGTGAAAGATGGTGTGATTTTATATATTTTGTTCACATTTGAAATCCAGGGTTAAAATTATGATTTTTGTTAGCTAGGTGTGTTTTAACGCAATTGAAAACAAGAGAAAGAAAATTGGTGACATAATTGACAACAAAGCTATGTGTTTTTGAAACTTAATTTTCTTAACCTTTTTTTATCAAGAAAAAGGTTATTGTACGTTGTAACATATTAATGGTTATTTATATATACTTTTTTTTTAATAGATGTACAAATTTTAAAATTTAAATACCATATTTTCAAAAATAATATAAATGGAAGTATAAGATTTCATAGCATAGTATGTATTATTGTTATAAAAAAGTGACGGGTCGAATTTAAGCCGTTTAACAAGAATTTGTGTCATTATATTGACTTATTATAATGGGCAAAAGGAGTTTATTGGTCTTTGTATTGAATGAATTTTACTATAATTAAGAATTTGATATATCACATATGAATGAAGTTGGCTATATAGAAACTTGAATTGACAATCGAAGTTAGTACTGAATGAATTTTACTAATCGAGATCTACTTTTGTATAAAAACAATGTAAGTTCATGAAAATTTGATATTTATTTCCACTAGTAGAATCAAAATTCGAATTTTATTATACAAAGGGGACTAAATGTAAAAAGATATCATTTTGAAGAACTAATTCTCAAATGAGTATCAGCTAACGGAAATACTAATTTATTAATATTTTCATTTATTGAAAAATTATATAAAAATTAAATAAAAATATATATCAGCATCCCGATGACATTTATCGGTTTTAGCCAGCCATATAACCAAAATTCTAATTATTTTATAGATGAATGACTAAAAAGATAAATGGACCCTGTAAGACCAAGTCCAAAATAGGGGTCTGATAAGGAAAAAAAAAAAATTTACAGCAAACATTCAAACCTACCAAGCATGAAGTTTTCTACCTATAAAGTGGATGAGATAAAATGAAGTAGAATTGAATAAGGTTGAACAAGACAAAACATAATTATGATTTGAAAACTATAAAGATATCATATGTGGAATTTGAAAGGACTTATTGCAAGTATGAAAACAATACATTTGCAGGTAGAGGTTTCCTTCATTGACTTCTTGGTACCAACCATTAGAGCATCTCCAATGGTACATGGATTGCACTCTTCTATTGTCACCTAGCCTCCAAAATCCAATGTGGCATTCAATAAATCTAGAAGTCTTTCTAGATGTAGAAAGACTTCTAGACATCTTTCATTTTATTTATACTAGTGTTGATACCCGTGCGATGCACGGGACGCAATACAAAAAATATTTATTATTTAAATATTATAAAATTATTTAAGACAATATGAAATTATATTCTCCACAATATTCTATTCAGTAATAATATGACATTTATTTATTTATTATTATTGTTAATTTCTATTTTTGTATTTTTTTTTTGTAGTTTTTGACTATTTAATATATAAATCTTATTATTTATAAGTTTTATAAAATATTATAAATGTATAAGATCATATGATATTTGCATACAAATTATTTGTATATACTTATAAAATCATTGTTTATTGTAGTCTTATAATTTTTTAACAATTCATAATTTGCACATTGCTTGATAATCGACCAACGTTTAACCCATAATATTTATCTTCGTCTAGAATTATTAAATGCATTAAATGTTAAAAACTTTGATAAACAAACTTTAATTTTTAGTGACTTTAATCCTTATGCAACACACAAATTTTTTATGGTTAAATATTTTATTTTTATGTTTCTATTTTTATTTATATTTATTTCTTTAATTCATTTTTTCAACCTATATAATGAGTTACATAGTATCTATTCGAATATTTTGATATATTATATATTTTCATAATTACCAAGTGCTATAATCTAAATTATTATACATTGCTTTTTTATTAACTTATTTTTCATTTATAAAATAGTATATAAGAAAAGAATAAATATTTTTAAAAATTGGATAGTTTTTAATGTACATAGGTACTTCTAAGGTGGAATTTATAATTCTGAATTGCATCCGACCATCAAATTTTATTTTTATTAGTATTATTTAAATTTTCAATACTATTATTACTGCATATGATATATTCAATGGGGGATGTACCTTTTTATAGTTAAATTGGCTACATATTTAAAACTTTTATTAATATTTTAAATTATTTATTAAGTTATTATGATTTAAACATAGTTTTATATTTTTCTAATTATTTTATTAATATTTTAAGTACTTTTGAATAGTGAATATAATTAATTAAATTAATACCTACAGCCATAGATGATAATATATTTAATCAAATCAATTTTCATAATAATTTTTTGAATTGTGCCAATAAATTACTATTAAATTAATATAAGATCTTACTGAAAATATATATCTAATAAATTTACAGTCAAAATTTCAATTTAAGCCAATTTGTAGTTAATGAGTAATAGTCATTGAGTGTATAAAAAATAATTATGTTTTTTATGCATATGATTTGTTAATAAATAAATATTAATTAAATATCAAATATAGACGAAAAATTTTTCTGCACAAAATCATGTCAATTATGACAATAAGGATTTGTCCATTATATATATATATATAGATATATATATATATATATATATATATATATATATATATATATATATAGATTTATAGTATAATTATAGGTTAGTATATTTATGGTATCATCGGGTGTTATTATCTTAATTGGTGGTATATATATTTTTATGTATTATTAAATATATATTTTTATGCATTATTAACTATCTGAATGATTCTCATACTTAAAATTGATTTTTTATTTTTAGAAAAAATGAAATTGAAATTTATTATTATTTTTATATAGATTTTTTTCTTAAATTCTCATTCAATAACTTTTAGGAACTTCAAAGGTAGCTGAATAGTAAGTCGCATAAATATTATTGTAGATTCCATATTAATTTGAATTATTAATTGAATACTAATTTAGTTAAGTTAATGCAAAGTGCAAATGGAAACACGGATCTAAAGTATTATTGACAAATGCAAAAATAATTAAACTTACAATTACACAACCAAATGTAAAAATGTTGCCAATTATAGTTATTGCATATCATCTTTATTTAGCAATAAATTCCATCAACTCCCTCTTTATATATATATAGATATAGATTATTTAATTTATATTTATATCTCTACTAACCAATTATTATATTATATGTGTCAAATTATCACACAATGGAGATTAACTATTGAAGACAAAATATTATATGAATAGTTTTTTCAATATAACAATCAAAATTGAGTTGGAGGTGGCTCCCATTGTGTTAATACTCATGTTAATGAATTATTGTTACCCAATTATACATTCTTATAGCATCAAATGCATATCAATAACCCAACAGATTAAAAATGCTTTATACCAAAAATGTGGATAAAAAACAATTTGTGAACCATAAATCAATTTGAATTAGCATGGATATTGGTTTTGTTATTAGTCGATTTTTCCCAATGTAATAACTATTTGTAAAATATAAAAATTGATATTTATAGTAAACCCTATATTATTATTGAAAATTTTTGGAATAATAATATACATGGTGTTTTCTTTTTATATATGACTTTTTACTGAAGTACTTAGTGTGTGCTTTATTGAGCTTCATCTCCTCCTATTTATAGAAACATGTAGCTTTCTTTATTGAGCTTCATCTCCTCCTATTTATAAAAGGCGTGCGGCCACTTGTCTCTTTACATGTAATCAATATCTCAAAAATCGACATGTGTACTTTTAAGGCTATAAAGAAAGCTACATGTTTTTTTTAT